TATCTTTTTAAGAGCAGGAGAGGCCTGTCCTGTGGTGCTCATGAGCCTGACTTTACTTTCTGGAACCTGTGGGGAGAATCTCCGGCTTGCCCTGTCCAGTCGTTAATCGGCTGGTGCCCACAACTCAGTATGGGCACCCATCAAGATGGTTTTCCCATCTTTAAAGTGATGAGGTCTTGATTTTGAAGATCCTGTCTGCATTCTAATCTTCTTTTCAGGTACTGAGTTCTCAACACATCTCAATGTTTTTAAGGCACTGGAGGTTTCAGAATAACAGAAACATTACTGTCTAAAAGTGTGAACTACCTTCAAAATCCCTAGGCAGACCCAAGGCACCCCCTGCCAGCCCGCCTCCCCTTCTCTGAGGCCAGCCAGCTCTCCTCCTCCCACAAGCAGAGTATTTTTAGAGTATTTTCAACCACTTTTCATTGAACCTTAGTTTTTTTCCCTCCCCCGCACCCACCAAGTACCTGAGGTGTAGAAATGAATTTATAACAGGAAGCCTTTGATTTTAGAGCCTTTATGTTTTTGAAGTCTTCCAAAGCCGGGCTGTAAAACAACAGGCTCCGTTTAAAGGAATGTCACATTCTCCACGCGGGGGCTGGCACCGCGCTTTCCTCGAGGTGGGAGGGGCACGTCCTTGTGCCGAGAGCAAGGAAGCACCCGCCCCGCCGAGGAAGTGGGGGTCTGGGGTGAAGGCACCTCACCGCGGGTGGCCGTGCACATCCCTGCTTCCGGACTGGAGGGGCCTCTGGGGAGGGGTTCGTCCTCAGCCTGTGGGTGATGCTCAAGGCCACCTCGACAGTGACGTCCCCGTGCAGGTTTGGGAGCTGTCTCTCTGTGCTCACTCCACCTTCCCCAAACCCCGCTGACCATGAGATGCACACAGTTTAGTAGCTGCCTTTACTGCAGAGGAGGGCAGGAAGGCATTGTGTTGCATGCAGGTGTTGATCCAAAGAGGTCTTCCAATTTCTAAAATGCTAAAATGTGATCAATATGCAGCTTAGACCTGCGGGACTAAGATACACAAGGGCTGGCCCCTCAAAGGGTTTCTGATCTGCCCGGAGGGCTGCCCAGTCCCTCCAGCCCAGACTCCCAGTCTCCCATCCTCCTGTGAGAGTTCTGATTCCAAACGGGAGATCCCCTCTGCCCCACAGTGCACGGCCCCGGGAGCCTCACTCGTCCTCACTGTTAACACTGCCGTGTGCCCACAGTTTTCCTGTTTTACATGTGAGGAGCCTGAGGCTCAGGGCAGCTGGGGCATGCACAGGGTTGCTATGGCAATGCTAGAATCTCTAACCCTGGTGCTGCCCGCCCTCCCATGCACTCTCACATGCTTGTCTCATTTTTTCTCCCATCCTGGGTGGAAAAGAGGATCCTTTGGACTCGACTAGGGCAGAGTGGAGTAGTTGGGACAGAGACAGTGTATATTTTGTGCAAGAGGAAACAGCTTCAGAGAGGTTGAACGACTTGTCCAGGGCTCCACAGTACGTGGGGGAAGCTGGGCCCCTGTCTAGGTCAGGGGTCAGCAGACAATGACCCAGCACCTGCCTTTGTAAGTGGAGTTTTACGGGAACACAGCCGTGCTCACTCACTGGCCCATTGTCTGTGGCTCCTCTGTGGCTAAACGTCAGAGCTGAGCATTAGTGATATTGACCATGCTCCCACCAGGGCAAAAACGTTACTGTCTGGCCCTTTACGGAGAAAGCTTGCTGATCTCTGTTGGAGACAATTCAGTTCAAGATAGTGGTTGCAGCAGAACCAGAGCGGGGGCCCTAAGTGTGGCAGGATGGTCACTTGTTAGTCTGGATTAAATATCAGATGGAATCTACTACCTGCATTCGAGGTCTGCATATGGGGGGAGCTTGTGAAGTTGTTCAGAGGCAGGCAGAGTGCTCTTGGCCCATGGACCCCCAGCTTCCCACAGAACCTGCACACTTTCTCCCACCCCCCGGCCAGGGGCTCAGACAGACCCTCCGCTGGGCCTGCCTCCACCCTGCCCCTTGTCATGCTTACGGCTGCTCACACCTGTCAGGTCGCAGCCTCTGCTCCTCTGTAAGCCTTCACGGCTTCACCGGGTGCCCTCTTTCTAGGCTTCTAGCCGTCAGCACCAGCTGTGCCACGTGTCTGCTTCCTGCTCTGCCCTGTGCTCTGTGGCCTCCTCCACGGACGCTGCGCTCCCATCCCACATGTGACCGTGACACGCTGCCCATCACAGGGGGATCGACTGCCCACCCCTCGACTCAGCAGGTGTGACTGACGTCTTACCCACCGGAGGTTGCAGAGGTCATAAAGGCGAGGCCCCTACCCTGCTGCTCTTGAAGTTTTTGGCAGCCACGCTGCAAGGGACGCCAAACTCCAGGTCGGGGAGACCACACGAGAGGACTTGAGGCCTCACGAAGAGAGGACCCCCACCATCTGTCTGCAGCACCACCTTCTGCCTGAGATCCTGACCACAGAGTCCCTGGGAGACACTCATGGTTTGAACCACATCCTCTGGAGAAAGACATGTTGGGGTCCTAACCCCCCAGGACCTCAGAAAGTGACCTTATTCAGCGATAGGGCTTTCACAGACACTGTCAAGCTACAATGAGGTCGTTAGGGAGGGATCGAATCCAACATGACTGGTGTTCCTGGAACACAGAGACATGGGGAAATACCAGGTGAAGATGAAGGCAGAGATCCAGGTGATGCTTCTGCAAGCCAAAGGCCACCAAAGTGGCCAGCAGCCACCGAAAGGGAGCAGGTTATTTCCCAAAACCCTCAGGACGAACCAGCCCTGGGACACCCTGACCTCAGGCTTCTTGGCCTCCAGAACTTGAGACTATACCTCTCTGTTTTCTGAGTCACCTGGTGTGTGTGGTCCTTTGTTCCGATAGCACTAGAAAGGAATACAGGATATAATAAAATGGTTGCTGTTTTCAGTCGTTTCAGCTAAAATTCAGTTTGGGTCTGGTTTGTTATACAGTACTACCCACCTGGAATATTCTCCCACCAAAGTGGAATCTGCTTGAAGGCAGGGCTCCCTGGCATGTGGCATATGCTTATTAAATGAGCGCTAGTCAGATGATCGGCCACCATTGTCCTCAAATGAGTCCCTGGGCAGCCCCGCTGCCCCAGGTCCATCCTCCAGAGAACAGAGACCTGGGTGTAAGGAGTCGGGGCTGCAAACTCAGAAGTGACGTGAGCGGCCATCATAGTCCTGGGAACCGGAGTGAAACCCCCCCTGGTGATGCATTTCCTGAAAGAGCCCATGCCTGGGAAAACAGGAAGGTTAGTGCCTATGCGTTTTTATGGGCACCCAATGTGCGATTTCAGAGGATGGAGGCCTGGGCAGGAACAATGTGTGTGAGCTGTTAAAAGCCAGCGGGAGGCATATGCTTTTCCATTCAAGTGGGACACACAATTGAATGGATGCTTAAGACAGCTCATGTTGATGACAAAAGACAGCCCAGCTTGAGTTTTAGACTGGGTGCCGGGCACCCAGGGGAGCCAAGAGCTAGGACTGTAGGATTGTAGCCTGTTAGGAGACCTAGAGGTCGTGACAGCCAACCCCCTGCCTCCAGGTGAGTAGGGGCCTACCATCCAAAATGGAAGGATTCTTTTCTTAAAATTTTTTTTTCAAAAGTGTTAAGGTTGAGTGTTGACATGATATTTGAGTTTTACTGGAAGCTGATACCTTCAGTTGATACGTAACACACGTTTGGGTCATGGAATCAGCTGTCATGTAAGGAGAGCTTTAAGGATAAGGAGATAGAAGACTGGCCAAGATGGTGACTCCCCCACAAGCATTCAGTTCCTAGGGGGCTGATCTGGGCTTGCGCTCAGGCCCCGCAACCCCGGAGCCATGATCTTAACTACTGAGCTGCACACAGTGGCGCTGCGTAATTGCACGGGGTGCTCCTGCTGCCAGATGATTAGGAAGAACAGGCAGTGGATGCCTGCCAGTCAGTGGGGTTCCGCACGCATGTGGGATCCCTGGGGGCTGGAGGTCCACCCACCCAAACAACCCCACCTCTCCATTTGACAGCAGTAGTTTTATTTACTTCATTCCAGTATCTTGAAGCCACATGAAGACTCTTAACCTGTATGAGTCGCCCCCTAAACTCAGAAATGGTAATGAACTCTTAACCTCACTGCCTTGAAAAACCAGCCTCTTAACTTTCGTTTCCTTACATTCTCCATAGGGGCTTTTAGCATATTTTAATGAACACACAGGCCTTTTTCCCTTATTAAAATTTTAAACATTGCCTCTTTTTACCTTCTGTGTTGTGTGTGTGTGTTAATCACTCAGTAGTGTCCAAGTCTTTGCAACCCCATGGACTGCAAGCATTGCTGCCTTCTTTTACCTTCTGGCCAGGTCACATCTTGTCACATCGGTGATGTAACGCCTCTGCTGGTGGATTTCTTCAGGTCCTCTCTTCTCTATTCTAAAGCTATTGGCATGAACATTTACGCACAACGTTTTTTTCTTTTCTCATATTGCTTATTTCCTTGGGATAAATTTCTAGAAGTTAGATTTTTACTACATGATATTTTCTCTAATTCTTAATCTCTCTTTTAAAATCATTTCCCAAAGGCCTGTAAGACTCTGTTGGGGATGTGGCCAGACCAGACATCGGCAGCTCTGGGCAGGAGTGCTATCTAAGGCTGCAATGATTTTAAAATATGTAAAAGGTCTGAAAATCTACAATCAGGACTTGTGTCTGTGCAGGAAAATGTGTATTTCTTTCTTTTATTTTTTTGGCTTCAGTGAGGAGCTTGGGGAATCCATGGTGTCCCCACATCCATATCTCCTCATTTAAGCCACACCAACCTGAGGGCTAAACGCATTCTCTTTCCTGGTATTTATTTATTTATTTTTCTGTGCAAGAAATGCTTTTCTTCAGCTCAACAGAACATGGAAGTCTGAAAAAAACCCTACCTTCTGCAGAGGATGTGAGCTGGCCCGCAGCCAGCGGCCGACTTGCACCCTTGTAAACACCTCCCTTTCCCGTCAGGGCCCAGAGATAAGCCATTCAGGATTCTGCCTGGACGGCTGGTACCCCTTCCATCTGCTAGAGAGGGAGGCCCCGCACCAGCCGTGGGGCCTGCCCCCTGCCCCGGCCCCGGGAGGCAGCTCTGATGAAAGTGCGTGTCTGTCGCCAGGCCTGGTGCAGAATGTTCCGTACGTGTTGCCCAAGGAGAACCTTTCACATTTTCTTTCATTTTCCAGACCACGAGTCCTGGTGAAGCCCTGCGCTCGCGGGTGCCCGTCCCCATCCTAGCTCTCCTCTCCCCACCCAGCCTCCCCCAAAACCCCAGTCCCTAGGCTGCAACACCAGCCTCTGGCTCCTGCTGTGTGCTGAGTCTCCTGGGTGGCACCTGGCCAGGTGCTGGGCATCCAGGCTGCTCGTCCCTGGGAGACTGGCGTCCCTGGTGTCATCAGAAAGTGCACGCTGACTGCACACCTCAGCCCCGACCTCCCCAGCCTGCCAGCCCCTCGCTGCTGCAGTTCCAGCACGTGTCGGGGCGTGGGGACAGGAGCCCGGGCCAGGGACACACCTGCTTTGTGCGGCTTTCCAGGCAGGGCGGTGTCAAGCCAGGGGTGCAGCTCAAATCTGTGAACAGAAGGAGGGATTGGAGCTGGAAATATGCTCCCTGAAAGGGCTGTGAGGGGGAGATGGTGTGTGTGGGTGTGTGTGTAAGTGTGCATGTGCACACGGTGTGTGCGTGTGCCCTGCCACCACTCACAAGTTCCCACCTAACCTGCCTGCACCTCTCTTTCTCCCCAGCTACTTCCCTGCCTCGGGGGCCAGCACCCTCGCCCTGGACACCAGCCACTCAACACCCTGGTCCTCCCAGGGCCCCCTGCATGCCTGCCCCTTGGGGCACCACTCTGATGCCATCACCAGCCCCACACCACCCGTTCCTTCGCTCACACATCTTGGGACCCCCCCAGCTGCCCTCTCCTCCAGGTCAGGATCCTCACTGCCTTCCCTGCCCCCGCCCAGCCCCAAACCCTCCCCGGCTACAAGGTGGACACTCAGGACGCACGCGTTGAGTGAAAAGTGACTTGTTTATTTTTTAATTAATTAATTATGCTTTTAACCTTAAATTCCACTGCGCATTGACTCGGGAGGCATTTGTCATTAAAAGATCTCAGGGCTGACTTTTCAACCCAGCCGAGGGGGGTGGGCTGGAAGCAAATCTCTTTTGAAGCCCTGACTACAGCTGCTCCCAGGGCTCTGCTGGGCTGAGCCGCTGCTCTGGGCTTGTTTCTGCCTTAACGTGGATGTTTCCAGAACAGACTCAGCCCAGGGGGTGTGTTCTTGCCACTTGGAGAAAAAAAAAAATATATGTGTCTCTGTATTCTAGGGGGCCTCCGCCTGGGCGGAAAGACTCTTTCTAAGAGGCAGCACGTTGCCTAAGTGGAAGTCAGCAGTTTTCAAGGAAAACGAGGGGTTTGCTCTGGGGACTCAGTGATTTCTGGCGTCTTCAGCTTAGCTGAGCCTCAGGTTTCCTAAGCTCAGCCCTCAGGTTGCTGAGGCCGCATTGTGCCTCATGACCGGATTTTCCCCAGGCTGGGAGATGGAATGTGGGGTCACTGGGCCTCAGATGGTGTCAGCTCAAGGACTTAGGCCTCTGACTGATGGCTGTAGCCCTTGGCAGTGGCTGTGAAATCCTGACACTGGGTTTGAACAGAAGTGGCCCTGGGAGGTCTCCTCAGAGGAAGGAAAGTCGTACTCAGACGAGCCACCCTTGACGTTTACAGTGACTCGACTCGGGGAGCGCCAGGGACACGGCTGTCCTTCCTGAAGAGTCGGGCTGCTCCGGGGAAGCAGCTCTGCTCCGTCCATTGTGCCTGGCCAGACTGCCAGTCCCTAGGGGCCTCCGTGCAGGAATGTCCAGACAGCTTGTCTACCAAACCCATCTGCAGGGCCAATGACCATCCATCATTTGCACAGTCAGCAACCTGTGCTACCAGGCTGAGCAGGCCTTCTGGTGGTAAGAGGGCATCAGGAGAAGGCATGGCTAGTCTTGGCTGTCACCCCTCAATATCTAGTGCTCCCCAGGCTCCATGAAGCCCAGCTCCACGAGCATCTCCAGGGCTCCTCAGCTGGGGAACATGTCTGGGTTCGGCAGTGTCTGGAGTTAGAACAGTTGACTAACAGTATTTAACCTGGGTAGATATGAGCAGGGATGTAGAAGGTACTTGCAGGGAAACTGCTATAAGAAATGTCCAGCGTGATGCCTGGCACTGACCACACATGTGGCTCTGAGTTCTCTCATTCCCCTGTTCCCAACCTCGCAAAGTTAGAAGAAAATAGAATGATACTGAAACTTGCAGCACCCGTGAAATAAAAATGAAGCCATTACTCAGAGGATTAAAGCTATTTCTGATGCCTAGAAATTTTTCCCTTCTGTATCTGGCTTGTTAGAACTTCTATCATGAAAGAGTGTTGAGGTTTGCCAGACAACTCCTCTGCATCTATTGAGTGTGGTGTGTGGAAGTTTGGAAATATTTTCATCCTGCATTCTGTGAGTGTGGTCTGTGATAGTTTGGAAGTATTTTCTCTTCTTCAGGAGTGTACCTCAGCATAAGAAATGCCATGTATGAAAAGCCCACAATTAACATCATTCTCAATGGTGAAAAACCAAAAGCATTTCCTGTAAGATCAGAAAAAGACAAGGATGCCCACTCTTGCCATTTCTATTCAGGAGACTACTGGAAGCCCTCACTAGGGCAATTAGGCAAGAAAAAGATATAAAAGGTGTCCAAATAGGAAAGAAAGAAGTAAAATTATCTATTTGCAGGTGACACGATCTTGTATGTAGAAAACTCTAAACATTCTACACAAACACACACATAACTAATAAACAAATTCAGTACAGTTATGAGACACAAAATCCACATATAAAATCTGTTGCATTTCTCTACCCTAACAATGAGTTATCTAAAAAGAAAATGTCACGCACAATAGAATAAAAATAGAATAAGATACTTAGGAATAAGCTTAACTGATGAAGTAAAAGACTTGTACACTGAAAACTATAAAACAATAATGAAAGAAATTAAAGAAAGCATAAATTAGTGGAAAGACATCTCATTGGAAGAATATTGTTAACATGTCCACACTACCCAAAGTGATCTACAGATTCAACGCCATCCCTTTCATAATTCTAAAGACCTTTTTCACAGAAGTAGAAAAAGCAATTCTAAAATTCTTATGAAACCAGAGAAGACTCTGAATAGTCAAAGCAATCTTGAACAAAAATAAAATCTGAAAGCATTACACTTCCTGATCTGAAAATATATTACAAAGCTACCGTGAAAAAAAACAAGTGTTGGTGAGGATGTATGGAAAAGGAAACTCTTGTATTCTGTTGCTGCTGCTTCTAAGTCACTTCAGTCATGTCTGACTCTGTGCGACCCCATAGACAGAAGCCCACCAGGCTCCCCCGTCCCTGGGATTCTCCAGGCAAAAACACTAGAGTAGGTTGCCATTTCCTTCTCCAGTGCAGCAAAGTGAAAAGTGAAAGTGAAGTCGCTCAGTCATGCCTGACTCAGAGCGACCCCATGGACTATATCCCACCAGGCTCCTCCATCCATGGGATTTTCCAGGCAAGAGTACTGCAGTGGGTTGCCATTGCCTTTTCCGTGTATTCTGTTAGTGGGAATGTACATCTGTACATTATGGATGATAGTAGAGAGGTTTCTCAGAAAATTAAAAATAGAACCACAATATGATCCAGCAACCCTATTTCTGGATATTTATCCTAAGGAATGAAAATTAGGTTATCTAAGAAACAGCTGCAGTCCTTTGCTTATTGTAGTATATTCGTGGTGGCCAAGATACACAATCTAAGTGTCCGTCGATGGGTGAATGGGTAAAGAAAACACGGTCAATGTAGAATGGAATATTATTCATCCTTCAAAAAGAAGGAAAGTCCGCCATCTGTGAAACATGGATGGACCTGGAGGATGTTACGTTAAGTGAAATAAGCCAGACACAGACAGGCAAATGCTGCATGATCTCACTTACACGTGGACTCTAAGAAAGGAAGAGTCAAAGAAGCAGAGCACAGAATGGCGGTTGCCAGGGCTTGGGGGAGGGGGTGGTCATCCCGCGGGGGTGAAGTCGGTGATCCAAGGCGGCTGCGATCTAGGGCGCTAACACGCTGCCCACAGTGCCCAACACTGTGCTGCACACTTACAGGTTTGGCAAGAGAGTAGATCTCACATGTTCTCACCACAATTTTAAAAAAAGTGAAATTTCACCCATGGCATTTTTTAAGACGACAAAAGGCTGAAATTTGAAATGTCAACAGGAGGGGCGTGGTTAGGGAAATTAAGTTAAAGCCACCAGATTAATTATCATGAGGCTTTTAAACTATTAAGATTTAAATGATGTTTGTGTAAAAGTGTAAAGAAAGGAAGACATGCGAAGCGTGCAGATACCAGGATGAGGGCATAAAGAAACACATTAAGCTATAGACCACATTTGGTGCTTTTGCAAAATTGTCTTATCTGTTTGTGGAAGTTTCTTCCATATGAAGTTTAGAAAACACACTTGCCAAGTTGTTCTCAAGATGGCACAGGACTTGCCACCCAATTCTGGGGGTGTAGGGTTACTGGAGGGGGTGCCACTGCACACATATGCTCTCATATGCTCTCATATGTTCAGGCCTGCCTGTGCATCTTAGTAAGGTTTTCAGTTTCCCCGTAAAAGTTCTGCCCTTTCTTGCAAAGGCGTCTCCCAGATGCCTGATAATTCCTGAGACGGCATTTCATTTTGGACTTTGCCCGTGTCTTGTCGCTGCTCTTTGCCTCCCTCTGGGGTGGCTGTGGATCTGTGTGTGCCAAGCCCAGGCACAGCCCACTTGGCTGTGGCCTCTGCTCGTCTTTCCGGAATAGTTTTATGTCTGCACGGATGTAAAAAGATGGGTGCTGCCCCTCCCCAGCCCCATGGGGGGCTCAATGGAGTCGGTGCCCCAGGAGCAGCCCTTGACCAGTGGTGGACAGAGGCAGAGCGTCACGGCCCCGGCTCTGTAGTCTCCCAGCTGGGATGACTCCCAGAGGCACGCTCCTCGAGCCTTCCTTCTGGAGGTTTCCAGCAGGGTGGGGCTCCAGGCGTGCATCTCTTCGGGGGTGCCTTCCCTTCCCTGACTCATTTCTCCCCTCTCCCATGGTGGTTTCCCTGGGGCCATCTTCCAGATGCACTGTTTTCATTCCCTGCCTCGGGGTGTGCTTTGGGGGGAGTCCAGCTGAATCCTTACCTTTGTGGGTGCCCCATTGGACAGTGAGCCGAGGGCATGGGGGAAGCGTCTGCATCAAGTTCCCAGTGCCCATCACAGTGCTGGCCCATAGCTAATGCTTCAATAACTGTGTGGTCAACGGATGGCTGGGCTGGGTGGATGGATGGAAGGAAGGATGGATGACTGACAGATGGCCGGACTGGGTGGATGAATGGATGGAAAAAAGATGGATGGCTGATGGTTGGATGGAGGGATGGATGGATGGAAGGAAGGTTGAATGACTGATGGATGGATGAGTGGTGCATGGGTGGGTGATGGTTGCCATGGAGACAGCAGGGCAAGCCCAGGTTTCCTCAGATGATGTTCAATCACTTTTGGGTAGAATGTTTTGCACTCTCTTCTCCCACCTCTGCCAACATTCCACATCCTTCTCTGGAAAAGTTTCTCTCCTTGCCCCAAAGATAATTGCTCTTGCCCCACCCTTTCCAGGAATTAGCCCACCAGGACTTCATCCTCTTGAGGACCTTGTTGTGGGAAATGAGCAAAACAGAAAAACCACAGAGCCAAGCTGAGGTGCATGTTATGAGCTTTCCATCTGGCTCAGAGAGAAGGCTGAGGGCATCCCTGCCATCAGGTGACTCAGCCTCAAGTGCCTGATGGGATACGTGGTCCAGGGCATCCAGGCAGGGAGCAGGGCAGGATGTCCACCTGATGCTCTGGGAGGGGCTCCCGCCCCCTGCCTCTGCCCTCTGCCTGCCAGCCCAGACCAAACCCCCATCCCAGGGGGTGTACCACCGCACCTGCAGTGAAAACTCAGGTGTGACCGGCAGGCTCCCCAGGCAGGGCTGGGCAGCTCAGTGATTTACATGATCAACTAATATTAGGTCTTTTCTTTTCCTGAAAGCTTAGTTTAATGAGAGGAGAAGGGACAGTGTGTGACCATGGGTTTTTGAAGCCGGGAAGTGAGTTAAGAACTTGGGAGGGACAAAGAAAAAGGGCCTGGGCAGGGACAGAGTGAGTTAGTAAATTGTGATAGTCTTGCAACTGGCCAAACAGCAAATTCCAACAATAATAATAGCTAATATTTGGGAGTCTACCGTGCGCTGGCGACACGAAGTAGCTCATCTGACAATCTCGTTAGATTCTACGGGACAGCTGTGCTGAGCGGGCTCCCTGACTAGCCTTCTTATGAATGAGGACCCGCGGCACAGAGAGGTTCAGTTACTTATCCCACATCACACAGTTAGTTAGTAGAGGAACCGGTTCCAGCCCTCTGTCTATGCCCTTTGCCGCAACATCACCCATCTCCGCCCGATGTCCACCAGCCTCAGCACCGCATCATTGGATGTGCCTGATTCACCTCTTTGGTCATTGCCTTCACGGAAAGGACCATTTGCTTTCCCCACACCCCCACCCCAGAAGAGACTGCCAAGGGCTGTGAAGACATGTGTCTGTCCCCAGTGCCTTAGAAAAGGCACAGGAAATCCGGAGGGTGGAGGACTCACCGTCAGCACTCCAGGGAACTCAGTGATACCACAAGCAGGTCACTGGTCCTGTCTGAATTTCAGTCTCTTCATCTGTCAAGTGGAGGAGGGCATGTTCCATGTGGCAAGAATTCTTTTCAGCACTGAAGTTCCAGAGTGCCTTCCCCCCCATTTGCTCACCGTGTGGATGTCTGAATGCAGCAAACTCCTATGCCTTGATTTCCACAGCAGTCCAGCTTTAATACAAATTGTGCGTCCTCTGTGAAGTTTCAGTGGGATGGTGCATAGAGATGTACTCCATGCAGTCTGCAGGTCAGACTCACGAGGATGGTCTTCCTGCCGCAGTACATGGCCCCCGTGTTTGAGAGGTTCATGCATGGAGGTTTATTTCTTGCTCACACTTCAGTCCAGCGCCAACTTGACTTCTACAGCTGAGCATCTCTCCTGGAAATGCTCCTCCTTCCTGTCTTCCATGTCTGCCTCCTCCTGGTCCTTGGAGGCCTCTCCACTCAGCAGGTAGATGAAGAAGAACGGGGAAGGTGGCAGATTCATGTTTTATGGATCCAACATGGAGCAGTCAACACCAATAGTTTCACACTCCATCATGCCTAGCTGCATGGGGAGCTGGAGATGTGGGTGTCTGTGTGCCCTGGGGTGGCAGATTCATGTTTTATGGATCTAACATGGAGCAGTCAACACCAATAGTTTCACACTCCATCATGCCTAGCTGCATGGGGAGCTGGAGATGTGGGTGTCTGTGTGCCCTGGGTTGAACGGGAACGGTTTCCAAGACAGCTCATCCATCTCTACCATAGAAACAATAGTCTCCAAGATCGATGAGAGCCGTGTTGATCCTTTTGTGGAAAGAAAGACCCCTTGACTTACCAGGATTGGGGAAGTCTCAAGATAATCACTGTGTCAGTATGTGAGCGAGTGTGTGCGTGAGGGCGGGTTCCCCAGAATCCAAAGCCCAAGGCAAGGCTCACAGGCTCCTGCCTTCTTAGGAGGTGCAACCCTAGGAAGCGGAAGTGAGGGCAAGGAGAAGCAACAGGAAGGTCCAGTCTGAACTGACCAGCACTTGGTATTAAGAGCCAGCCATCACTCAGTTTTATGGGGCCATCTTCCTAAAGTCCATACAAACAGCTGCTGCTCAGGACAGCTCATTCAAGGAGGAGAAAGGAAGGACATTCATCCACTGGCTTCTGCTGCTCACTGGCCAATGATTCATCCAGGTCGCAAGAATCTCTCTCAGTCATGCAGGGATAGGCTCTGGGCAATCCTACGGCGTCTCTGGGACCTCAAGGCCAGGAAGGTCCTCAGAGCAGGGAATGGAGGGTGCCTGGTGTGGACATCAGGCAAGGCGCCTGCCGAATCCAGTTGGAACCCATGGACAGGTCCCTGGTGTCACCTTTGCCAAGCTCACAGAAGGCAGAACTGGAAGGCACCAAAATCCAGACGCAGGTTGGCATGAGGCACCGAGTTAGCCCATGAGACCCCGCCCACAATGAAACCCCACCCACGAACAGACCCTTCCTGAAGCTGAGTGGGGTTCTGCTCTGCACTGCATCTGACCTCTGGAGAGTTCGAGTGTTTGCTGCCAAAAAAAAAAACAACTCACACACACACATGATTCTCCGGGGCCGAGGCCCTGTCATCCTTCACCAAAATGAGCCCTTCAACAAATGTAAATACCTTCCATGCTCTCCCGGAGGCCCGTCCTAACAAGGCCTCGCCCGGGCTCCTCGTAATCCCGGGGATTGCTGAAGCTTTTAGATTTCACGGGGTAATTTGTAAGGCAGCCTGACTTGCAGCCGGCCCTGTGGTTACTTGCCTGGGGTGGCTCCCGGGCGCCTTGGAGAAAGGCCGGGCTGGACTTGCCCAGCGCAGGTGAGCGGCTGGCCCTGCAGACCCCGGACCCAGAGGGCCGTGGACCTGCGTCTCAGAGCATCTCGGAGAAGACTGGGCAGTGCCAGAGTGCCGTCCTGCCCGGGGATGGGGGCTGCAGAGCCGCCACCGCTGCCGACAGCGGGACAGCTGGGGGGTCGGGAGAGCACGGCTGCACGTCACTGGCGGGGCAGCCTCACCCGAGTCAGTCTGCTGTCCTGTCTCCCCTCAACGGCTTCCAAAGCCAGGGCTCAGGGGGGCCGCACGCCGGGCCCTGCCCCTCACCCCTCATCTCGCGCCTTGAGGTCCCCTTCCCCGGCCACGCGGTTCCTCTCTGCCCCCCACCTGGTGCCAACCGGAAGTGCCCCATGGAGTCTGTGATGTCACCCCTGCCTCCCGGCACACATCGCACTTCATCCCCCACCCCTAGCAGTCAGGTGGGGCCTCCAAGACTGGGTTCCAGCCGACAAATACAGGAAGGAGAGCCCTGTTGCCACAGCCAGGCTGGCCCCTAAACTCCCACCATCTTCCACGATCCCCTGGCCCCTGACTGGACACTGGGATCCAGTGGGAGACTCCACGACCCTAGGAAAACGGGCCTTGGGTTCTGGAGTGACCACATGGAGCGGATCGCCCGTCCCACATTCTGGGCTGGAGCTGACGAGAGAGGACCCTGTGTCGGGCTGAGTTCCTGAAGCCTGAGGGTGCTTGTTCCAGCCCTTGTTCCGCTGATCGACACACACTCAAGAAGTGACTCTGGCCTCTCAGAGTCTGTTTTCTCTGTCTCGAGAAAGGGGACAAGACACACATCTTGCTTAGCCACGAGGGTTGCTGTGAGCGCAGACAGGGTAGCCATCCTTCCGGCCTGGCATCGGACAGGTGCCCGGGCTGCAGCCCGCCAGCACGTCTCAGAGGCGGCACACGGTCCAGGCTGGACAAGGTCATGTGGGTGAAGCTCTGGAGAGTGCCCAGCAGCCACAACAGGCATCGCTCCCCCGGGGCAGTGGTTTGCTCAGCCCCACACTCTCCCCAGCCCCGTGTCCCACTGAGCCCGAGGGGGAAGACAGCGCACCTGGGCTCCCAGGATCTCCTCTCTCCGGCTCACAGTGGGATTCCACAGGGGAGCAGCAGGAGGCCGGGGCAAGGAGGGAGACTGAGAGACCTCAGACTCTTCTTGGTCCCCCTCCTTGGCAGCATTGCAGCAGCAACGCCCCCTCTGCCCATGCTGTTCTCTCCTGCGGGCTCTGGGGCTCCACCTGGCTCTAAACGCTGTTTTCTCCCCTCTCCGATCTGAGTGTGTCTGTGCCTTCCTGGAACTGCTGGTAGCCGCAGCTCACACCTCTGGGAACAGCCCCTCCACTCCAAGTGTCTTCAGAAGCCCAGCCGAGGGTGAGGTCTCTCCCTTGGCGGGGACCCAGACTGTTGCCCCAGGTTGACATCACTTAGGAATCTGGGTTGGAACAATACCTTCACTCTGGCCTGTCCCGGGAGCAAAGGCGTTTGGAAAGGCGTGCTAGCGAGCGCACAGAATTTTCTAGGAGGTTGTGACATGTGGGATGAGAGCCTAGAAATGAAATCCAGTGGCCCTGCAGTAACCCCTAGGGAGCCTCGCCTCCAGACTGAGATGTCGGTGCCAGGCATCTCGGGGGCTGGACTCAGGTTACCCGCCTACACCCTGGCCACAGGGGAGCCTGCACCATGAGCCCTGGGTGGTCAGCACATCTCAGGGCAGTTTAGACCCCGAGTGGGACCCCTCCCGCCACCCTTTCTTCTCCACTTTGCTCTCGGAGGCTGTGACATGCAACACGCTGCACGGTATTAATGGGGCTCCCCTGGCCTGGCTTCCATGTGAGTTCAGCCAATGAAAGCACCAGCAGGTGAGCAGGGGGTCGGGGAGAGCCGGTGGGGAGTCTGTGGGCTGTGCTTGGGCTCATGTCATCCATGTGCCTCTGGGGAAGGCCCCAGCTCCCACAGACAGGCCTGTCTCCAGGGAGACCTCTATTCCAGGGGTCCTGGGAACTCTTCCCGCCAGCCCCTCTGTCAGCTGAGCAGCCTCCCATTCATGCTGAGGTGGCTGCACACCCCTAGTAGGTCCCTCGTAAATCCTCCCCTAGTCAGCCCTTTTCAGGTCCCCATTCGAGAGCGACACGAGTTTCTCGCTGACAGTCTGCTCCAGAAGCTAAAGATAAACAAGCCGGCAGGCCAGCGGGCCGTGCTCGTGGGGGGAGCTCTCCTCCCAGCTCCCTGGGGTGCACTGGAGTGTGCTCGAGTCCTAACCCCCAGGACCCGTGACGGTGACCTTATTTGGAAATCGTGTCTAATCAAGTTACGATGAGGTCGTGCTGGGTTAGAATGAGCCCTAACCCACTGACTCGTGTCCTTACGAGAGGAGGAGATTCAGACTCAGACCCACCCACACCGAGAAGACCGTCGTGGAACCACTGCACAGAGCCGGGACGGGGGCAGAATGGGCCGGCGAGGCAGGGGCAGGGGCAGGGGCAGGGGCAGGGGCCCGGGCCCTCCGAGTCCCCAAGCAGGAGCCAGCCCTGCTGACCCTCGGGAGCTGGGAGAGCCTCCTGAAGACCACAGATGCCCTGTCCCTGTGTGAGGGAGACAGCCCCCTCCCAGGGGGCTCCCAGTGAAGGCCCATCCCTACACTGCCTGACGCTACGTCTGTGTGTGGGCTCCGGAGATGGGCCTGCCGGGGAACCCAGCTCCATCCCAGGCCGACTGGGACCTTGAGGCAGCCCTCAGTCGCCTCTCCTACGAAGCTCGGAGAATAACCACACCTGGTCTATGAAATGGGCTATGAGGGTTCCAGGAGATCACGGGGAGCCCTGAGCAAGCAAAGCTGGCCCCACAGGGAGCACTCACCGAGCAGACCCGCTGGGGAACATCTCTCGTCCTTTTGATCCAGCCCAGGGCGACTGGGATGAGGGAGGCCTTCCTGAACACTCCGGGGCCTGAACGGAGGCTTGACATGAGAGGAGGATGACAGCTGGAATCTCCTCGGAAGCAAGCCCGAGCAGGAGAGGAGAGGACCATGGAGGATCGTGGGAGACGGGAGAGGACACACGCTGGGCTCTTCTCCCGGCCCTGCTGTGTGAGCGCAAGGTGATTGCTTACCTTTCCTGGCCCACTGGGGCAGTTAGCAACACATCTAAGGCCCACCAGCCTGGTCTCCTAAGACCCTTCCGTGGCAGGAGCAGGATTGTCCCCAGGATCCATTCTCCACCTCTTCCTTAGTACTCTGCCACCCGCGTGGCACCAGGGACTCACCTCCAGGCTCTCTTGCAGCTGGACATGGCCATGTGACTACATGGGGACGTGTAGAAAATTGAGAAGCAAGAGGACATGTCATGTGGCACCTCTGGGAAGTCTCCTCAGAAGGGAGGGGCATGAACTGTTTGTCTCAGCTAAGAGGAGCCTACGGGGATGTGATGACCAAGGGTGAGGTGTGAGGGCCCTGGATGGAAGCCTCGATCGGAAGGACATTAGCTGAAAACTTGGGGAATCTAAAGAAAGTATATTCAGTTCAGTTCAGATGCACAGTCATGTCTGACTCTTTGCAACTCCACGGACTGCAGCACACCAGGCTTCCCTGTCCATCACCAACTCCAGGAGCTTGCTCAAACTCATGTCCATTGATTTGGTGATGCCATCCAGCCATCTCATCCTCTGTCGTCCCCTTCTCCTCCTGACTTCAATCTTTCCCAGCATCAGGGTCTTTTCCAATGAATCAGTTCTTCACGTCAGGTGGCCAAAGTATTGGAGTTTCAGCTTCAGCATCAGTCCTTCCAATGAATATTCAGGACTGATTTCTTTAGGATGGACTGGTTGGACCTTCTTGAAGTCCAAAGGACTCCCAAGAGTCTTCTCCAACATCACAGTTCAAAAGCATCAATTCTTTGGCACTCAACTTTGTTTATAGTCCAACTTCACATCCATACCCGGATAAAGCATCGAGTTTCATTAATGATAATGTATCAGTATTGACTCATTAATTATAACAAGAGCTTCCCTTGTGGCTCAGTGGTAAAGAATCTGCTTGCAATAATGCAGGAGATGTGAGTTCAGCCCCTGATCTGGAAAGATTCCATGCCATGGAGCAACTAAGCCCGAGCACCACAACTACTGAGCCTGTGCTCTAGAGCCCAAAAGCCACAAGAGCTGAGCCCATATGCCAAAACTACTGAAGCCCACATGTCCTACAGACCGTGCTCTGCAACAAAAGAAGCCAGGGCAATGTGAAGCCTGTGCACTGCAATTAGAGAAAGCCGGCACAGCAAAACACAACCCCAGCACAGCCAAAAATAAAATAATAATACTAAAAATAAAAATAGTTCTAAAACCTTTTTTTCTGTAAAGAAGGAAGGCATGGACTTTCTTCTCTTCCTCCATCCTGCCATCAGAAATTTGGATGTGATGGCCAGAGCTCACGCAGCCATTTTGGGCCATAAGGAGGAGGGCCACCCTGTAGGAAGCTGAAAGGAGTCTTGTCCCCTGTTAAACTCATGGAGGTACCACACCAGCCCTGCATATTTTCTTTAATGTTAAAGAATCAAATATGGTGTGTTTAAGCCACCACCCATTACTTATTTCTATTTGTTTGTTTTGTCTTCCTTGTTGGAGCCTAATCCCAATGGAGACATTGTCTATCTCTTTAAATGACATCAGACCTCAACAAAATTCCATTTGGGAAACTTTCCCATACGATGTGATCTTAGAAAACAAGTAGCCTCTCTCTCCCCATGTCCTCCCAAAGTTCCCTCGTTAAGTGTTTAGAGGCAGGCCCACTAGACACTGATCCATGACTCCCCGGGTGAATGGGATGAGACAAATATGTTCCATTCCAACTCCTTAAAAAACATTCAGACCAACTCGATGGCATTTTGGTACTCTTCCAGTTGTGAGAGTTAAAATTTATGTCCTGTTCATCAAGATAATGCAGAGGGCAGAGTCTGGTGTTCTCCATCCTCACACTGGCAGGTAAAGCTGATGCAGCTTCAGCATCTCTCCATAGAATGAAATGCCTAGAATCAGTAGAATGTGATTTACTCTGGTTCTGCTGTCCCGACATTTACACAGATGTCAGATGAGTGGAGAACACAGCGGGAGGAACACATTAGGGTAAATTATTGCATCTGAAAAGAGGGAGTATCGTAAAAACGTTAAAAGGGAAAGTAAGTATTTATGACTCAAGTTGCCAGTAATTTTATCCCCCATTTGCCTCCTTGTGTGAGGTAATTAGAGCCTCCTCCACGTGAAGTGGCTGCTTCCAATGCGCTTGGGTGGGACTGATGAGTCCCCAACCCTGACCCTGCCTGCTGAGTTATCCCCCCCCCGCCCAGAGAAGGCCAGGCACACACCTTGGGGCATGTTCTCTGGTGTGGATGGGAAGAAGGGGCTGAAGACTCTGGGAATGAGGGTCGTTAGT